TCTCTCTCTCTCTCTCTCTCTCTCTCTCTCTCTCTCTCTCTCTCTCCTTCATACCCTTCTCTGGCCCTTTCAGCTTTCTCTGCTTCCTGTTGCTGTTGCCATGGTAGGGTTGCTTTACTCTGGCAGGCCTTTCTATTATGCTGTTTTGAGGCCAGCTGACCACAGACTGAACCTTCTGAAACCACAAGCCAAATGCACGTCTCCTTTAAGTTGCAGGTGTCAAGTATCTTGTCTCAGTGATAGGAAGATGACTGATATACTTTAGGACTTAGCAATTCTACTCCTAGGTATATCCCATAGGAAAAGAGTAGTAATAACTCAACTATTCATCAACCGATGAATGGATAAACAAAATGTGTATGTTCATACAATACAATATTATTTGACAATCAAGAGAAATGAAATATTGATTATATAGGTTGTATGTCCCTTATCTGAAATGCTTGTGACTACAAGTATTGATAATTTTGGAATTTGGAATATTTGCACATACATAATGAAACATCCTGGGAAGGAGGTCCAAGTCTAAATATGAAATTCATTACATCTAACCTGCATTTTGACTATGAATACCATGTGAGGTCGGGTGTAGAAGTTTAAGCCTAGCATCATGACAACACTCAGAAAGCTCAGACTTTGGAGATGTCTTGGTTACATTTCTCTCACTGCTGGGACAAAATACCCAACACTCAGAATTAAGCAAGAACAAGTTTATTTAGCTTATCATTTGTGGAAGTTTCAGTTCATGCTCAGCTGGCTCCAAAGCAGAGTGGCACATGGCAGAGGGCAGCAGTTCATGGCAGTGGAAAACAGCAAGAAAAGGGAGGAGGAGCAGCAGAGGCAGAAAGCAAGCCCCTTTCCTTCCTTTATATTGCAGTCAGGCTATCTGCCCCAGGCCAGGTATAGCACTCACACCCACAATCCCAGCATTAGATCATGAATTAATCACAAACTGTAGAAGCCCACCCAGGACTACATGAGGCTTTGGGGAGATAACTAGACACAAACCATAACAGGAGAATTCAAGATTTCATATTTCCAGTTTAGGAATATTTATTTTTTGGGGGGAGGGATGTTCAATTTGTACTGCTACATGGATGAACCCTGAAAACAGGTAAAAGAAACCATACCCCCCAAATCAACAATTGTATGATGCTATCTGTTTATGTCCTGAGTGGGTAAACTGAGAGACAGAAAGGAAACTGGGGCTACAGGAAGGCACAATGGAAAGTGATGCTTCAAGGACACTGCCTTCTCCACGGCATAATGAAGATGCTCTACAACTGCACTGTATGTGATGGTTGTATAGCACTGTGAAAATTCTAACAACCACTGATGTATATACTTGTGAAACAGTTAAAGTGAAGAATTGTGTTATATGAATTTTATGTAAATTTTATTTAAATTATTTAAAAGACCAAGTTATTTTTTTCTGAAGAGTAGTTTTTCAAAATAGCAGTTGTTTTTTTTTTTTTTTAACTTTTTCTTTCATGGTTAATTATTAACTTAAAAATGTCAAATTACTATGGGTCTTCTGTTCAACAGGATGCCAACAGTATCCTAGGAAAGTGGTAAGCAGATTAATACACTGAGTATAAACAAATCACTCAGAACAGGCCTGCGACAACAGCTCTCAAACTATGTTAGCTACTGTTAGTGCTGTACATGGAGACTTGCCGGGATATAAAAATGTAATGATTCCTATTTCTTTCCAAATTAGTTTCTAACACACTTCAAAAAGCAGATTTAGCTAAAAAAAGAAAAAAAAAAAAGAAATAAGAAATTTTTCTGGGGCCGGGGAGACGGCTCAGTAGGATAAGTGCTTGACTGGCAAACGCAAGGATCTGAGTTCAATCTCCGGTTCCGCTAAAAAAAAAAAAAAAAGAAATAAAAAGCAGATTTAGTTCCCTAAAATCAAGAAGGAAAAAAATCTGCATTTTTGTGTTACTGAGGAAAGTGTATCATTCAATTCTGAAAAACAATGCACAGTTTGGTCTGTGATTAGAATGAGAGATCCAGGTACAGTTATCCTGCCAGATCAGTCACAGGAATCCAAAAGACGCTAGATGTAAGGACTAACTCCACGAGTTATGCAATGAAGTCAACGAAAGACGAAGCTAGAAGAGAAGCTGGGGAAGTGTCTAGCTCCTCCTGAGTTATTAATAGATACTTAGAAACCACTTCCCCATGAAGCTTAAACTCTTGAGCTTTGGATCTTACCCACGTCGTAAGACACCTTCAACACCAGACAAGGGTTATAAATTCCATATGATTAGAAACAACACTGTGCTGGACATGGTGGTGCATGCTTGTAATCCCAGCACCACGAGGCGGAGGCAGGACGATTGCTATGAGCTTGAGGCCAGCCTGGGCTACATAGTGAGTTCAGGGGCCGCCTAAACTATACGGAAGAACTTGTCTGAAAAAGGAAAAAAAATCAGAACCAGAAGGAAAGAAAGAAAATCTTTTTTTTCCCTTGTATTAACTGAATTTTAGAGTTAATGGTACTCACTTGATCTGACAATAGGGTAAAGCCCCCAAAATACTAGTATGCATGGGAGAAAAGGGAGTAGACAAAACAAATGAATTTAAGAGAATTAAAAAAAATAGCCAGTCACTAGGATATAGTCCCAGGGGCAGCAGGATGGCTTGAGCCAAAAGGAAAAGAGACAGAGAAAGAACACACTGAGCAAGGGAATGGCTTTGTCCATAGCAGTCCTTGCCTAGCATGTGCAAGCCACTGGCTTGGAACCCCAGAAAGCACAATAAAAAAGGCTGCTTTATCTATATTTCATGCTTGTTAAATGTAATACAGCTCAAGCAGCTGTTAAAACGACAATAAACACTGAGCATTATAGCCTGAAGCTACCGAGACAGGACAGGAGGACGTGCTCTGTATCAGTACTATGAGACTGTGAAACTAGTTACTAGATTGCAGTAGTGGTATTGTACAGTCGCACTGTAGAGTTCCAGTACTGGGCCGTATTGTTCTTTTTTAGTCACATGGGAACATACTCATAGCATATTAACAAATATTTATTAAACTCTACCACATTCAATGAGTCTCAGTGTGGCAATGTACATACATATATATCACATAAAATTAACACACACACAAAAACCTTAGGTCAAAACTCCAAATAGTCCAGGAAAAGTTTTATTTTCTGTACAATGAAAGATGACAAAGAAGATAAGAAGGAAAGATCTCTCGAGACAGGAAAGCGCCACTGAGAAGCAGGCAGCCATGAGGAGAGCAGAGCTAGCGGGCGGCCTCCAGCCTCACCTGTGTCTGTGCTCTTCATGCCCATTCTGAATCGGATCCGCTTGCCCGAAAGGACCTCAGAGAGGTGCTCGGCAGTCCAGTGTCGTGCTGGCCAGTCAGAAACCATGTTGCAGAAGACTGCAGGCTGCTGTAAAGACATTATGATGTCTTTCGCTTTCTCTGGTGTAAAGGGCTTGACATATTCACCTAGAGAGAGGAATTGAGCAACAAATAACTAAAAAAGTATTTCATATTATATGAACAGAAACAGTTAATTGTTGTAACCCAAAAATCAAAAACCGGATTCAACTTGAAAGCGCTTTATTTAGCTGAGATCAGCGGTGGCACATACTCTCATCTCCAAGTATGTGTGTGCTTAGCCTAGGTGAGGCACAGTTTTTAAAGGGAAAAACCACAAGAGTGGGGAAGAGGGGGGATTTTAAAAAGCTTATTTTGAGTTAGTCATGACCAAGGGTTAACTCTTTGTTCCCATAGACAAGGTCACATTTTGTAAACCCTACAGGAATATGTTTTATTTGGCTTAGACTTTTTTTTTTTTTTTTTTTTTTTGTCTTGGTAGTCGGAAGGACATCCAATGACAGTTTTACCCATTTTCAGGTGTTCTGTTTGTTCCTGTAGGAAGGACAGTTTAGCTCATTTTGCAGTCTTATTTGTACAAACAGTCACATTCTTCAGGGAAGGCATGGGTGGGGGGGTTTACAAAACAAATCAAGGTTTTTACAAAAACGGAAGTTACAAAGCTTGTTAGAGGATGGAGATGGAGTTGTGAGCTTATACCAGATAGTCCTTGCTAATAATAAAGTTACAGTACAAACATACAGAGTTACAAAATTGGAATCAATGGCACAGGTTATAACACTAATACTGTTTCTGTTCTAGCAAATCTTTTCATGCAAATTCACTACACATACACTTTGTTGATTACCACTTTAAAAATGTTTGATTTGTAATATTAAAATGACTTTTTTCCATATTAAATTTTAGACATTTGAATGGTAGTAACTATGTACAACTTTCAATGTCAGAAATGACTTTACAGGGGCTGGGGGGTCGATCCCCAAGCCTGCTGTGCTGGTCCCGCCCCCGGAGTGTGCTGAGACAGCAACTGAGACTGGGCGTGGTGGTGCACACCTATAATCCCAGCACTTGGGAGGCTGTAAACAGGAGAATCACTATGAGTCCTATCTAGTAGTGAGACCCTGAACACACCTGCAGACCCTTTCCTAAAAATTACAGGGGAAAATAAAAAGACTTTGGTAAAAATGGCTTTCCAACTGCTTTAAATCTACAAAGTGAAATTTCTGAAAATCTTTTTTTTTTTTTTGCAGGGGAATGCAAAATTGTTATTTCTTAAATAGAGAATTATGTAAGAAATGCTGACAAGAACTATGTTGGAAAGATCAGAGTTGTTGGAGTTAGCAACAATTTTATTTGCTTTATCATGTTTAGTGCTGAAACAAAAGCAAAACCAAACAAAGAAATACTACTGAACTAATGTAGCAGTCAATCTGGAAGAGGAAGAGTACTTTTTATAGCAGTTTTAAGAATTAAAAGATGAGCTAAGATGGTAACTGGAATTAATCTTTGTAGTGATATGAGTCAGAAGCTTACTGTCCCCCCCAAAAGAAAAAAGAAAAAAGAAGCTTACTGTCCCAAGGGAGCAAGGAACAAAGAACAGTGCCTAAGGAAACTGGCCCCCTATAATTCTAGCAAGCTGCAGACAAGGTTACAGATTCCTGGAGGTGACACCCTGTCTGTTCTTTGTTCCTTTACCTGGGAAGTTGCCAAATAGTGATATGTAAACTTAGAGTTTGCTAAATGCCAGAAGACAATATAAATAACAGCTTGTTTACACCAAATTAGTTCCTGAGCCTGCTTGTAGCATTCAATAAATGTAAAAAGTTTTGGTGGCTTAGGGCTCACTTAGGGCAAGACTAGGCTCAGTGAGACCTCTGAGGCTAAATCAGTCTACTTGTCATTTCTCTTGGCTCTGACTATTACATACAACATGTGGCGCCCAATGTGGGGCATGGAAGACAACCAGTGTTAAGTTTAAATTAAGGGTTGCTGGACCATGTGGGTAATGTACGCTCAGAGTAAGCAAGACCAGCGGGAAAAGCTCACAGTAATGGAGAGTAAATACAACCATCTTACCGAGATGTTGCTCAAAGGAGACTTAAATGAGTTTCAAAGAATTATGTTCTCTTATTAAGAGGCAGAGTTACTGATTACAGCCTAAGGAACAGGTTGCTTTACACTTAAAAGTTTGGAAATAAGTTACAAGAGCTCTAGGCAGAGCTAGTCAATTAAGAGAAGCTAGTGTGTGGTCCCTTTGCAATTTGATTTCCTTGACTTTGAAATCTCTGCAGTCTTGACACTGAAGAATCACATCCCCAACAGAGAGTAAACTGCTCTGAAGTTCACTTTTTCCCGTTCCTCAGACCCAGGAAGCTAGTACGGTAAAAGATATTCAAATCGGTAGAGCGACTGGGTGCTTCAACTCTACCTTCAATGTTTACTAAAATTCAACCTCTGTCTCCTCCCCCAACTAATCCCTCTGTTCCTCCATATGAGGATAAGGGACAGTGACTCAGGCTTTACTGCAAGGAAGAAAAAAGGGAGACCTGGAGGCTTACAAAAACATCTTTAGGGACTGGGAGTGGTGGGACGCCCACCTATAATCCCAGTGCTTGGGAGGCTGAAAACAGGAAGATCACTACAAGTCTGATCTATGTATTAAGACCCGTAAACCCTGTATTAAATGCATTAAAAATAAAGAAACAAACAAAAAAACACCTTTAGGAGTTTTTCCTGTGGTCTCTTAGCAGCACTCACCTAAAGACGCAATCAACCTTTGTAACTGGATAAATGCAAGCATAAGCAAATGAACCAAACTCGTCATGACTGAGAAGTTTTACGCTGTATAACTTGTTTCAACTGTGGTAAATTGGATCATAGGAGAAAAGATTCTCAAAAAAGAAAAAGTAAAGATAAAAACAAACTCCTTTTGCACCACTGAAAAGGCAGAGTTAGCTGGCATTATTGTGTTAATACAGCACTGCTTTGATTTATTAAACCTTGTCAGTGATTCCCAATATGCTCAACACACAGTAAAAGAAATAAAAACTGATACTTTGATTCTAGATGGTTCTGAGTTAATGCAATTGTTTTCTATGCCTAAACAGCTTATTAAAAACACAAGTCAGCCTCTCTTTATTGCACATATTAGAAATAATACTATATCACCTGGCCCTGTGTCAACAGGAAACAACTAGATAGATCATTTACTTATAGGAAATGTTCAAGCTGTCTTCTAAAATTTTGGAAAACTTTTCATATTTCCATTATCACAGGAATTCCTTATAATCCCCAAGCTCAAAACCTTGTTAAAGGGCTGGCCAAATAAGTCAGCAGACTAAAGCGCCTGCAAGCAGGCACAGGGGCTGGGGTTCGATCCCCAGGCCTGCCATGCTGGCCCCAGCCCCAGGGCCCACTGAGACTACAATTGAGACTGGGCAAGGTAGTAGGTACTGTAATCCCAGCTCTTGGGAAGCTGTAAACAGGCAGATCACTACCAGTCCGATCTAGTAGTGAGACACTGAACACCCTGAGACACTTCTCTAAAAAATCCAAAAAACAAAACAAAACAAAACTTGTCAATTAGTATAAAAAGCCAAATGGAAAAAAATTTCATTGAGTGAAAAATCGGACAGGTACAGTCTAAAAACCCATCGATGCTTTATCGATGTATACAAAAATGTTTGTTGTTTTCTCAGTTTCTGTATTTATGTTACTTTCTAAGATCACTATAAAGGACTCAGCATGGAATACTGCTTTAAAATCAAGTCCTCAATAGGACACTGAGGATAAAGCAAAGGTATAGCTGAAAGAGTTTAAACCTTCTAGCTTAGATAAAAAATTGAAAAAAAAAAGTTCTTTTCAAATACTGGTTTCTCACCATACGATCAAAATTCTATTAAAACAAAAGGGGAAGGGGCCGGGGAGATGGCTCAGTGGAATAAGTGCTTCCCTGGCAAGTGTGAGGGCCTGAGTTCAATTCCCGGTTCCGCAATAAATAAATAAATAAATAAATAAATAATTAAAATAAAATAAAAGGGGAGTCAATCCCTCCAACTTCACTGGTCAATATAGACTATTAAATTTTTAAACTTTTACAGAAAATAAAAATATAGCAACAAGAAGACAAACCAGGTGTTTTTTGGTTTTTTTTTAAAAGGCTAAATAGGGTCCTTTAGAAAGATCTCCATACTGGACAACAAAAGGGACTCAATCTAATAGTAACCTGGAAAAAAGGGTATGCTTGTGTTTTTCCAGAAAATGCTAAAAGACCTATATGGGTACCAGAGTATACTGTCAGGCTATACCACGAAGCCATATCTAAAAAAAAGTTAACAGTGATGAGGCGAGATCTATCCTGGGGCCTATTCAAAAACAGAAATCTAACATCTAAATTAGGTGATGAAAAATTTCCAAATAGAAATCTAAGGTCTAAATAGGTGATAAGAACCTTTTTACCAAGAGGGCACCGAAGGCAAACAAAGAAGCCCCTGCCCCTCCCAAGGCTGAAGCCAAGGCAAAAGCTTTGAAGGCCAAGAAGGCCATGCTGAAAGACATCCGCAGCCACAAAAAGGAGATGTGAATGTCACCCACCTTCCACTGTCCCAAGACACTGCAGCCCACAGGCAGCCCAGATACCCTTGGAAGAGCGGCCCCAGGAGAAATAAGCTTGACCACTATGCCATCATATCAAGTTCCCCCTGACCATTGAGTCAGCCATGAAAAAGACTGAGGACAATAATACACTCATGTTCATTGTGGATGTCAAAGCCAATAAGCACCAAATCAATCAAGCTGTGAAGAAGCTGTATGACATCACTGTTGCCAAGGTCAACACCCTAATCAGGCCTGATGGAGAGAAGAAGGAATATGTTTGACTAGCTCCCAATTATGATGCATTGGATGTTGCCAACAAAATTGGGATCATCTAAACTGAGTCCAGCTGGCTAATTCTAAATATATACTATTTCCCTCATTAAAATAAATAAATCAATAAATAAGTGATAAAGTATGTAAAAATAATTGAGCTAAATATTACTGGCATCAAGACAAAAATACAAAACTATAAAATATACATGGATATGGATAAAAGATTTTATTCCTTCAAA